AATTTCATCTTCATCAAAATCACTGTCAATAATGCTATAATAATCAAAATTATCATACAATATGATCATCAGTGAATATTCTTGATATGAAAATGGCTTACCAAAAAATGCTTTTTGTCGTTTTTGTACTCTCTTACATAGAAGGATAGCGATGATCACCAACCACAAGATATTTGTTGCTACCAAAACTGGGACCTTTAAGTCAGTCCAGACGAACTCAGAAATTGGTTCTAAGATTAAAAAAAGTCTAAATATTTAAACTGCAATTCAAATGTGATTTGATCTATCAAATGCATTGTTCTCACCTCCAATTTCAAGCCTACTTCCATTTCCAAACAGAATCTCTCCACACATGGCCACAGCACAGTAGTAAGTCCCAGCATCAGTTAAACTAAGGTTCTTCTTGGGGAGATTGTAGATACAGGACTGTACATGTGAATCTGTCTCAGAGCTCTTCTCACATTGATCATTTATGTTTCCATGCTTGTAAATGATTCCTGGATGTGTATCTCCCGATTCATGTCTAAACCAGTAGATGCTGTGATGTCCTACACATTTCTCAGTGAGAACTGAACAGTGAAGATTCACAGAGTCTCCTGTGTTAAACTCATGCTCATTTACCAGAGTACCCGAGTCCATTGCAGACAAAAACTGCTTAATATGATGTTGTCTTGTATTCACCCCTGAAATTACAAAACTATTACATTATTTAGATGTTCAGAGATTTTTTCTTCCAGACAAGCAATTTGACTGCTTTTTTCTATAGGTTTGCTTACCTTTGTAGTTTAAAAACAGCCCACTACTAAAAGTTATAAGATCATAGTCACGGGCACCACAGTAATAGATTCCAGTATCCGATGGCTTTGTATCTTTTATGGTTAGAGCAAAAATACTTCCTTGCTTTAGAACTGTAAATCTCTTGTCATTCTTGAAGTCTCCATAAAATGTTGGTGTTGAAGTTTCAGCATAGAGACTGAGGATGCATATTGGAGCTTCTCCCAGAGATTGCTTGAACCAAGAGAAATAGTTTTCATAGCTTTGAGATATCAAGCACTCTAAAGTTATAATTTCGCCTGCAGTGAAGGTCTCCAGGACTTTCTTTTGAAATACAGCAGCAGATGCGATGAAGCCTGAGAAGGAAAAAGTACAAACAGTATCATCAGAACAGATCAGAATAACATTTTCTTAAATATTGTAAGGTGAGAATTAACTTTGCTGAACTAATCTCACTTCCACAACAAACACACCTGTCCTTGAGGGTAGAAAAAATATCAGAAGTACTTTAAACATAGTTGAGGTCCTCTGTGC